TCGATCTCCTTAAAAGTTAGAAAGCTTTCTGATTTTTGAGATTTTGGTTTTTTTAATTCTAGTTTTTCAGTACTTGATTGAAATATCGTAATTGCTCATTACTGTATGTGTACATAGATTACTTTATCTTCGGTTCATTTTCTACTACTATAATATTAGACATCTAATCTCTTAGAAGATTCAATTATTTTTCCAATGTTTCAGAAAATAAGATTTCGAGACGAACATTTTATTAGAAAGAGTTATATTATGTTTTATTTTAAAAGACTTATTAAGTTTTTCTATGGCAGGTGGTACTTCATACGTAAATCTCGCTAGAATGTGAAAGGTCATGGTTTTCTATTATAGAAATTTCCATCATTTCTCTAAACAAGAAACTTCTATTCCGGGCTAGCTTTTGTTAACATTTACCTGGAAAACCAAAAGTTGTTAAAAAAAAGAACTTCTCTGATATTCAAAGAGACGTTTTTAGCTAATAAGAAAAACACTTTCGTACTAAAAAAAAAAAAAAAGCAGAAATTTTAATGTTAAAAAAATGATATTTGAATCAAAAACTGATGTTTAGGTATTTAAACTTGTTCGTTTTTTGAAAAAATCTATAGTTTCCTTATAAGCCTTGTGAAATTTTTCTGATCAGTGATCTTTTATGTTAAAAGGATTTAGTTCTCGGATACTACAATGAAGAGATAGCAAAATCACATGGTACAATAGCCTACAACTGTCAATTATATGCTAATTGGATATTTCCTATATGTTCAAAATTACATTTTCGAGGATCGCTGAAAACTCTTGCTTCTATATAGAGGTTTAAGCTATACGGCTGAGCCGCCGCCATATCAACGAAAATTTTTCATAATAGTACCAGGCGCTGTCGTCGTTGACATCAAGACATATGTGATCGATCAATTTTTTGTCTTTTCAGAGCAAATATGCTTGTGTTTTTTGATCATCAAAGTCGCCGCCGCTGTTTAACTCTTCGGCTTACACTGCTAACTTTCATAGTAACTTATCTATCACTATCGAAAATATCATTTGACTCATACCAACTTAACTCTACATGTATATTGTTTTATCGATTTTGAGACATATTTCCTTTTTATATTTTCTTTTAATAAAACTAAAAATTTGTATTTATAATAGTTACATGGTTTAAATTTATTTGATTTGAAAAATCCACTTAAACCAACACCAATTCCAACAAAAACAGGATGTTGGCATAAAGCAGATACTTCTTTTGAAGATGAAAATATTCAAATAAGTGTACCTATTCAATCAACAAGTATACCTGAACATAGATTTAGTATTTTTTATTCAGGTATTTAAAGATGTTTTTTTTAGAAAAAAAAAAAAATTTCGATTTATTTATATAGATCCAACGAATACAAATGTGATGTATTATTTCAAATTCATATTTTCATGGATATGTGGTGTTGAACATATAGATGATCATAATAATCAAGCAACAATACCACCATTAGCAGCAGAAAATTTATTTTGGAAACATATTTGTAATTTAAATGGTATCATTATTTTAGGATTTTGTGCTTTTCTATGGGCATTTTTTACTGATTATCGTATTGATAAAATGTATAAAAATTCTTAAAAATCAATATTAGTTTCTAATATTAAATGAAACGAACAATACAAGACAAATTTTTTTGTTTTATGATTACTTACTTTTGCTATAAATTTAACGAGATTTTATCAATCCCATATCAAATGAAATTCTTTAATTAGAATAAAAAAATAATTGATTTTCATATGAGAATAAATTTTCTTATTGTACAATATATTTGCTTCATCTAATTCTTCTTTTTTAAAACAATTGATTATCGTTAATTTCAACTGAAATAATCATTCTAAATATATATATATAGTAATATTACATTAACAATATATTTTCACTTGAATCGAACGAAAAGTTACAAATAATTTACATCAAGAACTAATAAAGTCAGTATGAATTAATTCTTTAATCTAGAATGACTATACTTTATAATTGAAATTCTAAAAATTCTTTTATATCATGATAATATTTTATTACATACAGCAGTAAATGAAAGTCTCTGCTTCATTCGAACTTTATCATTGAGTGCAAAAACTCTACGCGAGATCGATCTTCTGTCCAGAGCGACAGCAAGTATTAGTTGTAGAAAAGATATCAGGCTAATAAATTTGCCACTAGGCAACACCTAGTAGACCAATCTAATCGAAGAGTAACAATATTCTTCCTTTGTTTTGGTTATATTATCGATCTAAAGATATATCTATATAATAAATTATCCATTTCTCGAATCGTAAATATCAGCCAAAGGCATATAAAACATAAAGTCACGTTGACCGAAACAATAATAATAATACTACAGCGATCATTTTATTATTTCATATATATTTTTTAGTATAGAAAATACAATGCGAATGATATTATTTTTAACAAGAGAAGTCTCCGACTGATTAATAACTTTTTGAATCGGAACTATATATATCATGTAGAGACAAATGAATATTGAATTTCCTGAAAAGAGTTCCGACTCTTAGCTAATAGCTACATAGATGTGATACATTTACGATGGCTTTTAAATAAATGCCATGATCCTTCTCAGAAATATTGCTTTTATAATAGCAAGTTGAAACTTTGAGTGTAGGTGTAGTATATCATAAGAATTCTAGCTCTCTTGGTTTGTTTCTATCCTGAAATAAGAGTATTAAATTGGTTGGTTTATAAACCTATTCTCAATATATAATACGCATAGTCACTACTGAAAAGAGATTTATCAATTGATAAACTGCTCTCGTTTTCTCTCAAGTTTAAGTTAGTTCAATTATTGACAGTCAACGGAAAAATACAAAAATGAAAATTATTTTCGACAATTTGAAAATTTATTATATTTTGTGTATTGAATAACATCTTAATGCTTGAACTTCTTTTTTTTTGTGTGTGTATCTACAATCGTTTTTTTTTTAATGATTTTAATTTGTATAGTTTATACAAATTAATATTATCGAATCTCTTGTCTTGAATCAATCTTCTTAATCTATATAAAACCATATAAAATGAAAACTAGAATCTAACGTCCTCTATTATTTTCTATATTTCTAATGGTTATTAAATTTAACATATGAGAAGAAAAATAAAACTGCATTGATGTGTTAAAATAACTCATGTTTATTTGGATTTTAAATATCCTAGTCTCTTGATGTTTTTTTTTTTTTTTCTTTTATTTTAAAAAAAAAAAAAAAAAAAAGATTGAATATTCAATATCATTATCTTTTTTCTTTTTTTTTATTTAAGACTTGCTGGATCTTTAACTTATTTAATAATAAGGTCCTTGTGCCTATCCCGATCCAATTATCCCTCCTATTTTTTCAGTTGTAATAGACAAGATGACATCATCTGATGATGATTATGGTCAAGCATCAAATAATAATAATAATACTATAAGCAATCAGCATAACAATTATAATCGACGTATGAATAGCAATAGTAATAATCCTTATACATCAACATCTAGTATTGAAATACGTTTATTAATGACTTCTCGTGATGCTGGAGCTGTTATTGGTTTGTATTTATTTATGATAGAATGATATTATTTTGTTTTGTTTTCTTTATTTTTCTCAGGTAAAGGTGGTTTATCTATACAAAAACTTCGTGCTGATCATTCACGTACAATAATTCAAGTACCTGATTGTTCATCACCTGAACGTGTTTTAATAATAAGTGGTGAACAAGATCAATGTTTTGATGCTTTACGTCAGATCATTCCATGTTTAATTGATAGTTCTCGTCTTTCATCATTTAATCGAAGACGTAATATAAATTCAGGAGGAAATTCTGAACAAATACAATCAACTAATAATGAACAATTATTATCTGAAATACGTATGCTTGTTCATCAAATATATTGTGGAGCTATTATTGGTAAAGGTGGACAACATGTTAAAGAATTACGACAAACATATAATCTTGATATTAAAGTATTTTCACAATGTTGTCCATTAAGTCATGAAAGAGTTATTTCATTACGTGGAAAACCTGAAGATATTATTGAATGTATTAAAGTTAGTATAATAAGAGATTTAAAAGAAGTTTCTATGCATATTTTTCTTAGAATATCTACAATTTAATGGCTACATCATCACAACAACCAAGAGGTTCACCATTAATTCAATATGATCCACATAATTTTGATGTTTATGCTGTTAATGAATATGGTTAGATTTTTTTTTTATATTTAAAAAATCAAATTTAAATTAATTATATTTATCTAGGTGGTTTTCAACCTCCAAGTGGTGTTGATGTTCGTTCTGGATATAATTCGCGAGGCTCATATCCATCTAGTGGATCACGTGGTGGTATGTATCCTATTCAACCTTTACCTCCTCTCGTTGATGTCCCTTATGGTGGTGGACCTGGTTTAGGTACTCGCTACGCCAATCCGGCATTGTTCACTTCGACACGTGTAAGTTATGTTTTTGTTTTTCTTGTCTTTTAATTTCATTTTTTGTTTTTTTTTCATAGGTAACGTTACCTAATGAACTTGTTGGAGCTATAATTGGACCACGCGGTACAAAAATTCAACAAATACGTCAAATAACAAATGCAAATATAATTATTGATGATCAAGCAATTCCTAGTGGTAATGGTGGTGGTGGTGATAGAATAATAACAATTGAGGGAACACCAGAACAGATTAGTCGTGCACAAGCACTTCTTCAACAAGCTGTTCGCCAATCTGGCCTTTGGCGACCATAATTTTCTTATTTTGTTTCTTTTCTTCTTCTTTTTTTTTTGTCGGTCGATAGTGCGACATTACACTCATTTACATTTACATATGTACTACGTTTTTAACTTACATTGCTTCATTTCCTTTTTATTTAAGTCCGTATTGCTTCTTTTTCTTTTCTTTTTTTTTTTTTTTTTATTCATTCGTGTATACAGTAGGATGATGATGATTGATCGACGTGTTATTTATCTTATATGCTTTTTTTTTGTCCCTTTCTTTCGTTTTTATATAGAATTTCATTCAGATCTGTTTATTTCTACACTGATGATAACACAATGGATATGATAGATTTACATTTAGAAAATAATGATGGATTACATTGAATATTATTTCATAACTAGTATCGAAATTATGAATACTCGAGTATCATCATCTATTATATACTTATATTTTGCATACAATATATGACAAGGTTTAAAAATTGTTCTGTATTTTGTTAATATTATATGTTGTCTGTATTCATTGAAGATTTATTGTCGGATTTATTAATATTTACTTTGTTGTTTTTTTTTTTTTTTTTGTTTCTATTCTTTTTGAAACACTCAATCATGTTCATTTATTATCTATATGACAAACTAAGTGTTATTCATGAAGAAATTTATTAAGTTATAGATATTAAGAATGTAATGAGAATAATCATTTATAGATTCATCGATCTAAAACAATAGACTTTCTGTCGATAATCGGTATTCTTAAGATTTTTTCTTCATTCAACAAAATATTAGAGAATGAAGAAAAAATTGAGTTTTGAATTTCGATTCGAAATTTTGCATAGAGACATTATTGTTGTATATGAACGATATGAAACACACATACTATTACTATAGTTGTATCTTAAGATCGAAGCAATCAAAAGATCTGAATTTGTTTTTTTACAATATAAAACATAATTGTATCTCAATAGTACTATGACTTGTCCAAATGTAACGGGAATTACTCTTTATTAATTATCTGGGAACATTTGAGAGTTAGAAAGTTCATTCAAATGCTATTCGACACAACATATTACACTCTATTTATACTACAAGAATGACTTGTTTTTGACACTAGGAAACATACCATTGTCAGATAAAAACTATGTCGAAATCTGATTGACTAGGAAAACTAAAGGGGAAAATATTATTTGAGTCTAATTGGGTAGAAAAATATCGGTGAGTATCAGTTATTAATATCGATTCATACTAGGTACTCGATGATTTGTTATCGTCATTATTACATCGCCAATAGAAATGTAATTAGCAAATGTTTTTTAATTAAGAACAATGTTTTGATTCAAATTATTTGAATTCAGATGATAACATAAAATCAAAAAACGAAAAAATAATTTACTTCTATACATTGGTAGTACAATATTTAAATAAGAATCTTTTCTTTTAATTCAAAGTATTCGAATTCCATCATTAAAATTTGTTTTTTTTTGTTATGTTTCAAACACTTTATCAGAAGTAAAATATACAATCATTGTAACAAACGAAAATATTGTAGAACAACAATGTCAATTAGATTTATAAAGTATAGTTCAAAAGAAGAAAAACAAAATATCAACAATGTATACATTAATGTTGTTTTCTTCTATTATGTTGAATAGAGGTGATTTATGTAACCTATGTCATTCATGAAAGTAACAACATCAATATATCACCTTGAAGCTGTGATTCAAACAAATAGACATGGTCTTTGGAATGCACGCTCGAATGAATTTTATTTTATCAAGAATATATTTATTTGTTGTATATAGTGTGTTATATTACAGTCTATTATTACATTCGTAGTCACAAAAAAAAAGAAGAAAAATTTGTTTTGTTTTCTTTTTAACATTGTATTCAATTCGTGATTGTATTGACTATATTATAATGTTATATCGATTATTTCAATTATTATTCTTATTAGAAATTTTTATTATTCATTCATTTGAATGGGATATTTTATTGAATTTAGACGATGATGATAAACTTTTATGTTATTCATGTAAAGGTAATGAATGTGGACAAATAACAAATAATAATGACAATAAAATTCTTTGCAATAAACGAACACAATTATGTTGGGTAAAAATTATTATCGATATAATAAACAAAATTTTATATAGATTTTTTTTGTTTTCAAAAATTTTTTAAAGGCTGGTTTTATGGATCATCAACCTTATAGAACATGTGCTAATCGTCACTGTACACCAAGTGATTTTTCATTGGATAGTCACGTTACTATTGAAACATGTTGTCGTTCAGATTTATGTAATTCAATTTTACGTAAGGAAAAAAAAAATATATATATTATGTTCTATTGTTCTATTTATTTTCTTAATTAGTCACTTCGCCAATATCAGCCAGATCGCACAAAAAAATCTCATCATTGGCTGTTACTGAAACATCTTCTATTTCAAAAACACCACTAACAACTAGTAAATATATAAAGCAACATGCAATAACAACGGCAGGTCATGCTGTTGATACGATAGTTCATGAAAAATCACCAGTATCAATTGAGAAAAATTCATACAATAACAAAGAGAAAGATGAAAATATATCTCAATTAAAACTCAATACAAGTAATCCGAATAGTTTTGGTGTTAATTGGGATCGTATATCATATGATCAAAGTTTTAGTATTCGTGTAACATCAATAAACAATATTCTTCTTTTTTTAATGTCACTTTTATTAATTATAATTTTTTAATTTTAATGCTTAAACTTGCTTTATTTAAATCAAATTTTAATTTATTCAATATTATCTTCAAATTCTTCATCTTCACGTGGTGATAATAATATAGATGATTTAAATAATTCAATATCTTCTTCTATTGTTGGATCATCTATTTCTATTAATTGTAATTCATATTCATTTTTTGGTAATAAATCAATTATATTTGCTTGATAATTTTCAAGAAAATTTTTCATACCCCAACCAATATAGATATTTTTAAAACGATAACGATCACCAACAGTATATGCACCTGAAAAAATAATAATCAATAAAACAAAACAAAAAAATCTACTTAAATGTCACATCATTTTATTATTTTTATAGAATAGCGAGAGATCTTACAAGAATGATTTCAGTGTTTTAAATGTTGACTTAATTAAATTTTAAATATTTCTAAAAGAAAAAGTAATTAGCGTCTTGTAAATTTTGCTGCATTCAATGAGCTAGATGATCACATTGAATATGGTTTATTACTCCTAGTTTCGAGTGAAATAATATTTAGTTTTTTAATTTACAACAAAACAGTTTATGCTATTAGATATTTTGTCTCGATTCATGGTTATTATTAATGAATTTTTAGCCTATGACAAAATATCACGAGAGAAATTGCAACAATGAGTTTCGTTCGGAAGTTCTCTCTAATAATTGCTTTCGTGGTTCTTATAATATCCTGAAAGTTCAGAAAAATGATCCTAATCTGGTACGAAAAAAAAAACAGTTTATTTTATGATTTTTTTAATTTAGACTGTTCAGTTAACAGCCATCATGAAGTCTTATCTTTTGAAAAATCTACATATGTGTGCTCATGCATATAGAAGGAAATTGTTATCTTTTTAATATAGAAAATCAGTTAACAAAGTTTTTCTATTTTTAGTAATTAAAGTACATCGTTAACTTTTGTTTTGTTTTTCTTAATATACATAACAAAAATTGTTTGCTACAAGTCGCGATGGAACTGTCGAAGATCATTACACTGAAATTGCCTATCCCTAGCTTTACATCTATCACTCTCAACAGTTGTACTATGATTTTAGACAACCAGTACTATTTTATTAGAAAAATGAACAATATCTAACATGAAAATTTTTATGTCTTGATTCAGTTATGATAAACCATTTCTGATATAACTCCATACTAGGAATGTCAATGTTATTTGATAACGGATGAAATTAGATTATTTTTCGCATCATGTTATTCTGAATGAATAGTAGTGTTCTGTTGCTTCTGTTTCATTTGTAAATATACATTTCATATTGATTCTAACAAAATTTTATTTTAGCGGCAGATTCTGTACCTATGCAAAGTTTAGTTACAAAAAATTTCCCTTTGAAAACTCTAAGATCAGTACTTGTTGCTTTTTTTTTGTAATAGTCTCATAATATTCAAAAACAGATCAAGAATATATAAACCTAATGGGGCAACATTAGATCAGATTAACATACGGCAAGCCTTTCTTCAATTTCTCACTTTGTATAATTTCGATAGAATTCCTCTGAATTCGCGTATTTATAATGCTCAAATTAATTTCATATACATCTTTAGATATATGTTAACAAATCATACAAAACACAAACCTGGCCATCGATTTGATCGAGCATAAACAAATGTATATTCAGGAATAAGAGTAGAAGTCATACCAATGGACCATGCAGGATATAATCCGTGAATTGGAATATCTTTGCTAATAGAAGATAATAAATGAGGACCTTGTTCAATAGACATTTTTTGAATAGTTGATTTTTCTTCTTCTTGATTTTCATTATGTTCTTTGGATAAAAACGATTAAATTAAATACGAAAGTTTGGTAAACTTACGATGAAAATATAGATTTCGACCTTGTTTATAAATATATGCAACATCTAGAAAAAAACAAATTTTATTAAGAAATTTTTATTTTTATTTTTCTTACAATGAACCCAATATTGACCATGAGATAAAGCAAGATCTTCAAGTTTATTTCCTTCAAAGTTAGTATTTATATCAAATTTTATTTGATGTACTAAAATTCAAAAAAACATTTGAGTTTGTCATATGATTCTAACTATCCTACGATCCATTGTTTCTTCACCCATTTCTTCGTCATCATCATCATTAACTGAAATTTTAAAATAATTTTTCGGTCCTATCTATTATGAAAGCAAAAATAAAATACAAGAAAAAAACAATAATAAGAATGTACCTGAGTACCAGCAGTAATTCGTTGAATTTGTGCACGTAATAAATGTTTTTCACTACCTGGAAAATTGAATTCACATATAACAGGTGCTTCAAGATCACCAGTAAAAAATCGTTGAATTCTACGAGATAATTCAATTTGTTCTGGTGTTACCATTGGTAATTGTACAAAAGGTTGATTAACTAAAAAAATCGTTGAATAAAAATAAAAATTCTCAAGAATATTCTTTACTTCCAGTTGATACATAAAAAACTTTTTGATTAACACCATAACCAAGTTGTTCAGGTGGTACTTTTTCATTGAAACTTAACATGGTATCATCAAATTCATTTTCTTCTTCAGATGAAAAAATTTCTTGATATTTAACAAATTCAACATCATTTAGATCAATATTATCAAATGTATCAAAATCAGTTTCAACAATATAATAATTATTTTTTATACCAAAAATCTTGCCCCAAAAACGTAGTTTTTGAATATTAATTTTTTCTTTTAATAAAATTTTCATTGAAAGCCAAATCCTTTTGAACAAATAAAATTTAGATGCAAAATTTTTAAATTATAATATATATATTTTTTTTTTTCATACCAATAGATTTCATCTTTATTTAAACCAATACCAATTTGTTCAAATAAAAAATCTAATTCTAAAATATTTGTCATTGTTTCTTCAGGATTACCTTGAATAATAGAACGATCCTAAAGAAAAATAAACTATGATAATTTATTTTATTTTCTACTTTTTTTTTTATACAGAAAGAAAAGTAAGTTGTCTTTGTGCAAATAAATAAGATTCTTCTTGATTATTGATTGATAGTTCTTGTTTTTTTTCATAAAATATTTTTGAAAGTTCTTCAAATATTTTATATGATTGTTTGGGATGATAATCGAAAAGATAACGAAGTGTATGTATCAAATTTTCATATATATTAATTCCAATTAAAGTTTTATAATCAGAAATTTCTTTTAACATATCAGATGGTATTTTTGATGTTTGTGATATAATGGAATAATCTTGTTCTTGATCAATATTTTTGTAAATACATGTTTCTATTTGTTATAGAATAGAGATGTACATTATAAGGATATTGTACAATAGGCAATATACAAAAAAAGAATGAGATTCGTAAAAGAACATTTTCAGTGAAAATTACCCTAACTTTTTGAGAGAACCCTTAGTTGAATAATTATGCATACTTTTGTTTCAAAACAAAAGTTTTTCATATAGAATAATAATAAAACAAGAGCTCTATGATTTATTCTGTAGGTCTTTTTACTTTCTTTGGAAAAAGAAAAACTTTTCTTTAAGATGGCAGAAAATTGGTCATTTTTCCCAAACCTTTTAAGAGTTAGAATGATTTTTTTTATGTTAAAAAAGTATAGCTTAATTTAAATAAGATTATCCAGTGCATTTTGTTTGGAAAGTGACACAAATCATTTTATAATCATTTATCTTTACTTCGTATTCATTCAATTACGAATCAAGACATCTATTATTAAATTGTCAATAGTCGTATATCGAATAATTCTCACCTAAATCAATATATAATTCTGGATGCCAAACTATTTCACATGTAAATGGAAGTTTTTTTTCGATTATTAATGAATAAATATTTTCGTACGATAATTGTGTTACATCTTGTCCGTTTAAAGTAACTAAACGATCACCATCACGAATATTCATATCATACCAAATACTAGTTGGATTAACATTTTTGAATAAATAAGCAAAAATTTCTTTATTTTTTTTTATCAACTGAATTTTGTAACATATTAATGTTACATCAGAATTTTGAAATTTATCTAATCATATAAATAACAAAATGTATTTTATTTTTCAATGATATATTCACTTGGATCAACTATGATTTGTTTTTGATTTTGATCTAATGGTAATTGAAGTAGATGATTAGTTTCCAATTTTACAAATACATCTAGATCAATTCACCTAAATTAATTTTCCTATTTAACAAAAAAATATCATACTTTTAAATTCCATTGATTATTTAACGCAAGTTAATATTTCTATTATCTAAAATAAAACATATATTTACATATACGTATAGTGATTAGCAAGTAAAAGCTGCTAGTGCAACGTATGCGGTATCGAAATATGAAATAAGATGTAGCTGTAGTTCCTAATCACAGAGGGAATGTTTTATTCTATCTTCTTTAGAAAACATTTCGTCATCATGTTTAAACTTAATCCTCCAGAAATTCAAAAAGAAAGTACTTAAAATATTACGAAGGATGTTTGTCACGTCTACAACTATAATCAATTTTTATTCGATTTTTTTTAATACGAGCTTCTTAGGAGAAGCACAGATCAGATTATTCGAAAAAAAACCAGTGACGAAGTGAAAGAATCGGAATATGACGAAAACTTGTTTGAAATATTAAGTATGCTATTCCATGCAAATTTTTTCGCTGATTCTAATTACGAATTCGTATTTATGGCGTTTTGCCGTCACAACAACTTTAACATTAGAAGTAATTCGACTTGTTCTATCGAACCATGATATAAAAAAAAACTGGGCTCAATATTCGATTTGCCGGGACCTTACACAAAGAGTTAATAATTCACGATATTTGATTCTATCGAACAGTGTTCGATATCAGATAATTTAATTATAAAATAATCAAAAAATTTTATCATATTTGTTTGTTTAAATTTTTTTTTTAGATTGATAATCTTCATAAGAAAAATATATACAACAATGATAAATGTAAACATCTATAGTTATAAACATGTAAAAATTCCATGATGTTGATTATATTTAAATACTGGATAAGAATA